AAGCATGCTCTTTACAAAAGTGTCATTGCCATATAGTATAGTGAGAAACATTGAGAGTTAGAAGAAATTGAAGGGAATTGGTCAAAGTTGGTTCAAGCAGGTCATCAGAAATGTTGGAATTACTTTTCGTTTGGAAGAGATTGTTTTAAAGAGATTTTGAGACAAAATTTTGTAAATTTTGGTGCCACCTTTGTCATGAACTAAAACGAAAAAGATCGAGGGCTAGAAGCAAATAGAGAGAATTCTTTTAATTTTGCAATTTTTGAGCATGCTCAAAAAAGCCCAAAAACATCACAGTAAAGACCGTAACGGTCATTAACATTGTGGGCTTCTCTTTCTAAATGAAAATGGTGCCAATCGAGAACAATTTCGTTGCTATATTCCTCGTAATATTAGGTTGTTACATAAGTCTTGTTACGCTTTAACCTCTTATGGCGATAAGTCATGCACCTCATTCCTTTACAAGGCTCTAGAGTACCATTCGATAGAGGAAAGCAAGCTCTACAAGATAGTGTGCAAAAGTTTGCATTAGCTCAGACCCACCGTAAGTTTGCATCCGGAATGTAAATCGCACTGAAGGCTTAAAAATCGCGAAAAATTTATATCTTTGTTCAAAATATCCTATGAATCTCCAACTTGTTAAAAAAGAAATTGTACACTATATCAGACACTCATTTGTATCGTTGCTGTATTTTTTTCTCATCTAAAAATTGAGAAAACGAGAATTTTCTTGCTTTTACAAAAACAGAGCTATGCTGTTCCTATTCATGTAGCTATATGCTACAAGCGCTTATAAGTATGACCGTAAATAGCTTTCCAGAATGCCTAGTTTTCGAAAATTACCTGATTTAGCATTGAACACCGGAATGAAAAAGCTAAATTCGGTATTTTTTGAAAACTAAGGCTTCTTGAAAGCTGAAAATTTACGGTTATACTTAAAAGGGCTTGTAGTAAACAGCTGCATGAATAGGAACGGCATAGCTCCGTTTTTGTAAAAAGAAGAAAATTATCGTTTTCTCAATTTTTAGATGAGGAAAAAATACAGCAGCGGTACTAATGAGTGTCTGGTGTGCAATCTGCGTGGACAAATTGGAGATGTGGAGGACTTTTATGAACGAAAGTATGATTTTTTCCCCATTTTTTAAACCTTCAGTGCGACTCACATTCCGGATGCAAATTTACGGTGGATCAGAGCCGGTGCGAACTTTTGCACAATATCTTGTAGAGCTTGCTTTGCTCTACCGATTGGTATCCTGGAGTCCTATTACAATTATGAAGTTCACGACTTAACGTCGTAAGAAATTAAAGTGTAACAAGACTTATGCAACAGCCTAAAATATTTCCGGATTTTTGGGTCTGCGTCTTCCACGAAGATCAAGATTGCTTTCGACTGACACACGAGTTTTGCTCAGCTAGAAAGGGAAAGTCACAAAGCCCTTGTTTATGTCCGTTTTGGTCTCTGCTATGACGTTTTTAGGCTTTTTTGAGCATGCTCCAAAATGCAAGACTGAACTAGCTTTCTCTATTCGCTTCTAGCTCTCGACCTTCTATGTTTTAATTCATGGAAATAGTATAGTAATGAGCACAATTTTCTCCATAATACAAAAATAGTTTCAGAATTTTTTGTGTTCCTGCTTGAGAAATGCCAATCTTGTGTTATTTTCTCCAATTGCTTCTCTCTCGAACTTTCTTACGCCAATTCATTTCAAAAGTGCGGCTGTAAAGAGAGAAATTTTATCTCTTAAAAAGTTTTCTCTTTCAAATAAGTTCGAACTCAAGAAAACCATTGAGTAGAGAAGAAGTTATGGCTTTTTAGAAACCGGCGAACGAACTTTTGAACACCTACCTAACAAATCGTTCGAAGCTCAACAGGTTTCCTCAAAGCTCAACATAGAGGTTTTTCTTGCATGAATTATAGTTTCATTGTACTTAAATGACTGACAACCAAATCTATACTTCAAGAAATCCAACTATCCGTCTCGTACAAGACATTTCTGCAATCACGAACTAATAAGTTCTCTATAGGAACTGGTTGAACGGCTAAGTTTGGCACAGTTTAAACTTATATAATTTGTGTAGGAATGATTCCAATCTTACACCAGTCTAAAGAATACACATTGGCCCGTAGTAAACCCCCCATGAGGCCATCTCTCTTGCGCCGGACCGGAGGTGATCTCATCGCGCCTCAGTCCAGCAGACGGCGACCCATTGATCGGAAAATCCATACCCTATCATGCAGTCATTGCGATGCGCTCCAATAGCCGTTATGGACGGAACGCGATTGTGTGCTGTGGTGCAGTGGCGAAGAGGACGGCGTACTGTGCGAAGGGTCGGAGGTTCAGTTCCGGGGTAGCGGGACTGTTTTTGCAATGGTCAAAAAAATTTGGTTTTTATCGAAACATTTGATTTTTCTGCGGCAGTGACCGGCATATCCGTCTAACAGCCGCACATGGCGCTTGATATTCTTCGGCGCCATGATCTTTTGTTTCTTCCTTTTCTTTCACTCATTTTTCTCAATTTTTTATAATGTTTTGTAGTAATTGTATAAAACTGCGTAGGTGATATATGAGTAAGCACATGAATGTGCTTACTCATATCATCGAACCATGCGTACTTATGGCGCTGTGAAAGGTAGAAATAGCCACCGCAAGACTTGAATTCTAACCAAAATGGTAGAGTGGTGAAGAGGGCGGCGTGTTGTGCCATACATGTCAGGTTCGAGTCCTGCGCGGGACATAACGTTTTGTCTTAAGTGCAAGTTCTTCACCACTTGCACTCAGGTGCAAGCGTACAGTTTAATAGAATCCGAACAAGTTAATTGTCGTGGTCGTCGTCTAAACTAGAATGGAATCACCATCTGGATAACATGTTTAGATGGCTTCGCTCTTCTTCAACGTCCGTCAGCAGCGCCAGAGGAACGTCCGTTATCAACGCATCCATCCTTCCTCTGTGTTCCAGCAGAACGATCGCATCTTCTACTCGAAGTATAGATTTCGCAGAGAAGATGTTAAGAAGATCGTGAGGATGCTCGAACCGCTGCTGCCGGATGCAGGGCTGGAGCCCTGGGAGATCAGCAAAGAGGACCAGGTTTGAGCATCGTTTTATGAAGGCCTACTATAATTCCTACGTTTTCGCTTCAGGTCCTCATCACTCTCCGCTACCTGGCCACCAACAGTCATCAGACTGTTATAGCTGACTGTTTCGGGGTGTGCCAGAAGGCTGTGAGTGACGTCGTCACCCGGGTAGTGGATGCTCTCAATCATCCAACAATAGAGGCCCGCTTCCTCCGCTTCTGGCCGTCGGACGAGCGCTGGTGCTTGCGGAGGTCTCGAGAATTCGCTAGAATCTCGAGATTCACAAGTAAGAACTTCACAAAATTTTTCAACACTTGAATGAAATGCTTTGTTTAGATGTCATTGGATGCGTCGATGGTTGCCTCATCCGGATCCAGCGCCCTATCAACTTCGGCAACCACTACTACTGCCGCAAGGCATGTTGCGCAGTCAATATGATTGCGGTAGTGGATGCCAGGGCCCGCTTTATGTACATCAACTGCGGATTCCCGGGCAGGCACCACGACTCATTCATATGGCAGCATTCGCAAGCAGCTGCCGAGTTCGACGAGGGTCGCGCTCGTCCAGGATATCGCCTCCTGGGCGATGCCGGCTTTGCCAACTCCAGGAGTGTGATGGCGCCCTTCCGAGAGCGGGCCACAGAGAATGACGTCAGGAAGAGGAGGTTTAACAGGGAGCACGCCAAAACTCGACGAGTCGTCGAGCAGGCGTTCGGAGCGCTGAAGCGGCGTTTCTGTATACTGTACAACATCACCCGCATTCAGCCTCCGAAGCTCCAGAAGGTAGTGAAGGCCTGCGTCATTCTCTACAACATCGGCATCTACCTGGGAACGCACAGAGGACAATCGCTGGCTCCCATCCGTCGAGGTTGGATGACCCATCCTCCGGACAACGGGCATGTCCGCGAGTTCGTCACGGAAAACTTGTAGAGGTTGGTAATTCCGATGCGAGCGACAGTCACTCTACAGCCCAAGCCGAGTGCGAGTATAGCTAACATCTCTGCAACATGTACGTCATCTTGCTGTCAAGATGACGTATTTTGGGCGCATGCTACACGGCTGTAATCCTTGAGACAGGCATGCTGTCGCCTGTAGCAGCCACACGTTTGTGGGTGCAACATGTTGTTACATGATTCCATTTGATGTAGTTGGTAGCAGACGATGTAATTCATAGCATTATGATCCATGTTGCTGCATAAAACATGCGCGGTACATACTGTTGCACCATGATGCATGTTGTTGCAACATTGTTGCACCTAGCTGCTACTGCTGCAACCATGTTGCATGCTGCTACAGCATTCTTGTTGCTGGTGCTGCATGTTGTTGCATGTTACTGCAACATTCTTATTGCATATTGCTGCAACATGCTTGTTGCATGTTGCTGCAACCTTGTTGCATGTTGCTGCAACCTTGCTGCATGTTGCTGCAACCTTGTTGCATGTTGCTGCAACCTTGTTGCATGTTGCTGCAACCCTGTTGCATGTTGCTGCAACCTTGTTGCATGTTGCTGCAACCTTGTTGCATGTTGCTGCAACCTTGTTGCATGTTGCTGCAACCTTGTTGCATGTTGCTGCAACCTTGCTGCATGTTGCTGCAACCTTGTTGCATGTTGCTGCAACATTCACTATGTTGAGGCAACTTGCAATAAAACTGTTGCAGCAGCAGTAACACGCAACTTTGCAGCAGCAGCAGCTAGGTGCAACAATGCAGCAACAACAGCAACCTGCAACATGTGCAACAACATAAGCACCGCTCACCTTTATCTCCAATGGACCAGCACTCTCAGTTATACGCAACTGCGGACAACACAAGAGAATTGTCCATGGGAAGGCAGAGGGGTAGATATTGGTTTTGTTGTGCTTCTTTTTACTTGCGCTTGTCGTTGTCTACTTAGTACATGTTTCTTCGTGACAACCTTATGTTGCAGGTGATGGTTTGAACGCATCGACTGTAATGTACTATGCAATTATACTCATAGCAGCGTTATCAGGTCAGCATCGTTTTCGCGTTTTCATCCATATAGCACCTACTTTTTGAACGTTTCTTTTTTATTATGTCTTTAGGCATGTTATCGATATTACTGATGGGTTCAATCAAACTTTCAAATTATTATTAAATGGAACTTTAGCGCAGTATCAGCACCTGTTACTAGAAGTGATCTCTTACCATCTTTCAGTCCGAGAACCAATGATACCCATTTCATCTATTCGAGGCGAGACTGACGAAGAGACGAAGGAAAAGATGACGGAGGTGTTGAAAATGAGGAGAAGCTGGTGTGGGAAGGTAGTTTTATCTCCATCATAGCTGATTTTTTTGTCGATTACCCATAGAAGTGTCAGAATTACAGGGCCCTGGCAGACGCCTGCGCGATCTTTTGGTTCTGATGCGAGCTGTGAATTGCAGTGAAGCTGAAAAGGTGCGCACGCATAGTGCCCCAAATAAATATCGTTTGCTGCGTCGGATCTTGATCTTTCATGGTTTAGATGAGTCCAGCGGCATGTTCAAAGTTAGGTCTTAGGCATAAAGCCATGTTAGAAATCCGTCGACTTCGAAGGCAGCTCACCCACATAGTAAACACATCTTTCAAAGCGGCCGCTGATGTCGTTTTTGACCCAAACCTTCCGCCTCCATCAGACGCTCAAGCGCAAATGTTAAGGTAGGTTTACTATTAATCCTACTATCCTATTTATTGTGTTGAAAAATCATTAAATTATAGGCAAATGATGGTAGCTGAAATAGATGATCGCATCGCTAGACGTGTGGATCGGTCCGCCGGTGATGAAGAAGTGGCGAAAGGAGCATACCAAACAATGAAATTGCAGGTCAGGCTACTTCGATTTGAAAAATCAAGTTCTCATGAACTTTTTTCTATCTTCGTGTTAATCTTCTTAGTCCTTGAGCGTTTTTTGTACATATCGCATCGGAGTCTCGAGATTCTCTTTATAAAATCTGGCAGGGAGGCGCAACATGTCAATGCCCGCGCCATCCAAGCTGCTTCCTAAGTTCGTAATTATTTTCTTTTTTACAGGAATATGTTTTCATCAATCCGTTTTTTTTCCAATTCAATTTCATCATCTGTCAAGTATTCAATTCCGCGGTGATATAGTGCGAGAGGAGGTAAAAAGTCATCAACATCTACATTCAAATCAAAACAGCACCAGTTACCAGAACCGCTTCACTAAAGTCAAAATCTTTGGGTTCATGGGCACTTGTGAGTGTTTATTTGAAACTTGTTTGGCAAACATTCTAAGCCGTATTTTACCGTAGCTGGCATAGACACTTCTCCTAGTTGTATCCCAAATACGTGCAAGGGTAAGTGGGCATTTTTTACATCAAAAATCAGCTCATTACCTTTGGCGACTGTTTAAAGAAAACTATGATACCCGCTATGACATGTTTAGCATAAACTAAATTTCGTCCAAGGTCAATTCCATAACTTTAATGTTGAAGCTTGGTTCACGTTTGAAATTACGAAAAGGGTTCAGTCCTGAACCCATTGCAGTTGATTCTTCTACACTTAGTACTATGTTCACAATTACAGGAATTTTGTCAAATCGATAGCCAAAAAACAAATTCCATTTGATGCTGTCAACATTCCTAGCAGATAGCCCTCAACAAACTTTAAACTTACTACCATGCCCACTCCATCTCCTCCTGGATTCACCAGACCGTTCTCTGTAAAAGAAAACCCTTCCAGATGGGAACTCAATATTGGTCAAAAAGATAACGCACCCTCACTGGACGGAGCTTTAGGGTCCGCTGAAAATTACGCTTTCGGATAAAATTTGGGGAATTGATTTAAAAAAAACTTACTTTTAGGGATGTTAACGCTGATTTGGTTGTTCACTGGAGAGATCGAGATTTAAGAGAAACATGTAAATGAAAAACTAACGCATTACCGTCATTAGGCGAGTTCTCATTTGTGGCTGAAAAAGGACTTGTTTCTTGGGAAAATTGAAATTGATCGAAAAGTAGACGCACATTCAACTTTTTTCTCCTGTTCGTTTATAGCATTTTCTGAAATGAACAGGCTTTTAGGTGGAAATGTGAAATATTGTAAAGGAGCTCACCGGCATTGTGTCGAGGTCTATAATCTCCTGAAATAATCAGATTTTTGTGTGATATTGTGAGTTTGTCAAAAATAAAACAAACGGTTATTACCATAGGGGTTCTCAGGAATTGTACCTGGAAGTATCGGTATTTGGAAAACTTATGACTTTAGTCAAAAAAAACAAACCATCATCGAGTTCGACAGCTGGAAAATACTCTATTAAGTAGAAATGAGGTTGATCGAAAAGACTCACAGTTGGAGCCTTGCCCCACCGGGTCTTCACCCAAATATTGCTCCGCTGGCAGAGGGATAGCCTGACTTCCAGCCAAAAGCAATAACTGAAAGCATGTCCATGACCAAATTAGTAGTGGAACGCATGGAAACATAGTCTCAAATACAAAAGGTTTTTGAATGAGACTTTCAGTTACTAGAGTTTTTAAATCTAGATGCACTAGCCAGAGATGGCTAGTGCATCTAGATTAAGTTATTAAGTAATTTTTTTGGACCAACGAAAGGACAAATAAATGGAACTGTATTGCATCTGCTTTTGACGATCTCTTCAGTTCTTGACTCAAGCTGAAATTTTTACTGTAAACACAGTCTGCTATGAGTTAGACGCATTAAAAATTTCCGTTGAATCAATAGATTTTTGTTTTATCATTCGGCACGATCATCCCATTTGACCAAAATCCAATCATGGAAAATCATTTTGTTGATGTCAATAGCTTAACTAAGGGATACTATACCCACACTGAAATGATGTGGTGAAATCTAAAAATATAAAGCTCAGTGAAATTGACTTGATGGAACAGCAAATTTAGGCATTCGCAGGGTTTTTTGATCCAAAACTCAATCTAGATTGTCCGGGATCCTACAGGTTTTCCCAAAGCTCAAACTAGGGGTCTTTCTTGCATATACTATAACTGTATAAGGCCTCGGACAGAGTTCACGCGATTTGATCGTCGCAATTTAATCGCCGCGATTTTCATTCACTTTTATTTTACATTCAAAAATTTCGAGCTGGAAAAGTATCGCAACCGAAATACAAGCTGATCGGCATGCAATAAACTCGTAACAGTTGTCTTGTCAGCGATTGAATCGTGACGATCAAATCGCGTGAACCCTGTCTGAGGCTTAAGGGTCTTGTACTCAAATGACTGACAACTGCCCACTTTTTACTTCAAGAAATTTTCACTATTCGTCTCGTACGAGACATTTGTGCAATTATGTCTGAATAAAGTTCTCGTTAGGCTTGGTCGAAAAGAAAGGTATACCGCAGTAGCTCTCAGCTATCTTTGAAATAATTGCTGGTATACATTCTGCATAGGATTATCCCAGTCTTACACCAGTTTGAAGAATACACATTGCCAGACAGCAGTAAATCACTTACCGTTCCAATTAAGACTGACCACCTCATCTTCGCAAATGAGTTGAAGTGATGTTCAGTAATTATGAGCTAATTTATACCATAAGCATAGACTACTCACAAAAGCTGAATATACATAGTATTTCAATGTATGTAGACTACGAGTCATGTAAATTTTATGGCAGGAACCATGCTGAACATACAGTCTTTTGTTTTCGTATTGTGATAGTCATACAGTGCTAATATTCAGAATGAACAACATTATACTAGGCTGTTGCATAAGTTCTGTCCGATTTTTTTTGCCTCATGCTTGAAGCAGCTGTTCTAAGAGAATTTCATCTCTAATTCGATACGGTTGGTATCATTGAAAAGTGCTTTCCTTGCGCTTTCTAAAGCATACCAGAATTCAATAAAATTCTTAGTGTACGGAGATCACAGGCCTAAAATCTCTAAGTGGCCGAGGTACGTTCTATCCCTAGAAATATGTCCTTGCGAGGATATCTCCACAATGCGCCCTTCAAGTCAGGTTCTTTCATTGGCTTCGGAATAAGGGTATGGAATGCTAGTATATGCAGAAGTTCGGTCCCATGAAGAATACGTCTTGCTAGTGAAATTTATCCTCGAACATAAATCTTTGGTATAGATGTTTTACAAGCAATAACTTTCTGCGAATAGAAGTAATCGACAAGCTCAAAGTTGGAGGTGCTAGGGCAAAGCAAGAGCTAACAGGGCCCATCCACCAATTCCTTTTCGGCGCTCACGTCAGTTGTAAAACGTTCGTAGTTCATAAATAGGCATGCACACATGTGCTGAAGCGAGGTCAAAAAGTGGCTAATTTTTTGTTCGGTCAAAAAAATCTCTCGGCAGCGCAAACCCTATGGGCTCTTTTATGTTGCATAATAATCTACGAAAATTTCTCTATCCATCCATTATTAGAAAAGATGCCTATCAATTTTCATAAGGGAGCGTTACCATGTCAAAAAAGACAGATTCGAAGAAAAACGCTGCGAAGTTTTTGCATTCTTGGTTCTTCCTTAACAAAGATTTGCGCAGATCTCAATATGCATTTTTTAGCCAAGGGACTGCTCAACACATAGAAGCTAAGACCTTGGAAAAAAGTTGACTCTGAAAGAAGTTATGACATTTTAAACTCAAAAATTCAAATCGGACAGAACTTATGCAACAGCCTAGTAGTACACAGCCACTTAAGTTGACTCTCTTCATAATGTCATAATACTTTCACTGCCTTATTTATATGCTTTTTTTGTATTGTCGAATGTACAGTTCTCAGTATCAGCAACAAAACATCGTGGTAACGCATCGTGGAAACAAGATGCTGAGTTGCTTATTTGGTGAGAGGGCTTTTCATACCCATTGCGATGACGCCTAATTTTGCATGGCGGCGATTTGGGACTACGCAAATTTGCACAACACATTCGGCATGGGAAAGTTTTGTGATTATTTACGAGATGTTAGGTTCTTTTATAAGCAATTCCAGTCATCTTGGACGACGACTTCTACATGTTCCAAGAGTGCAGAAGGAAAGGATAGGATTTTGCAGAGAGTGTGGGCCCAAAAAGTGCGTTGGCCACCGGTGGTCACGGATTGAGGGATGAATTAAGGACATTTTCATAGTTACTGTAATCATAAATATTGCTTGAGTAGCTTCCAGCAACTTAGCAAAGCACTTCTTGCTTGCTTCATTCGACACTGAAGTAGCTCATATGTACCTAGAGTGCATATGTACAGTGGATATTCCGCTTAATATGAATAGTGTGCTTGCGATGTCGAGAAAATGCGATAGAATAAGTGTGAACAATTAGCTACGCCTGTGACACCGACCACTTACGCGCGCAAATTGCGGACATTGCTGGCGTAGCTGTAGTAGACATCATCTCTAGTCACCTTGGTGCGATGTGTGTTAGTGTACACAAATTTGAAATCGCGGATGAGGGTCCCGCCGTGTCGTACCTACATCAAGTGCGCAGTACGGCTAAAATTTGACTCCAAACTGCTTGTTTTTCGCAATTCTATGTTTTTTCTTCTCAACTTCAAAATGGGCTAACTTCTAATGATTTGCCACTTTTATATGTCGCGCATGCCGCTTTAAAACGAATATCTTGAAAGTTATCACTTTGGCTTTCAGGTAAGGGAGGCAAATAGGCAATCTTGCAGGATTTTGAGGTATGTCTGCTTACTTAGTATTGTCATATGCAGAAAGAGTAGAGTATCTTTTAGGCAGTGCGAGTCACTTCCTTCTCACTGATATCGGAATTGGTTTTTCATGCCGAGTTCCTTTGGAAAGCTTTTTCTAAATCTATATTAAGATTGCTTTGAGCAAAAACTCGTAGTGCTTAAGAGATATTCTACTCTTTCTATATACGAGATGTCAT